CACACTCATAATCCAATTAAATGTACCAGAAACCCCAAGACAAAAACCTTGCTAGAGCTTAGGCTCTCCTGCCACATGAACAAGGAACAATAAATGAGGGCGGAATAGTTTTGCTTCTGCCTGTCAAAGTCTTCCAAGAACTGAAACTATCGGAGTCCTGAAAATTACCTGAAAAATCACTCAGTCATCGCCCTTGAGTACACCATCCATCAGCAGGGGATCCTGCACAGCCCCACACACAAGCAATGACTCCGAGTATTTCTGAGTCATGACTATGGACTAGGGAACTCTTTTCCCCCAACCTCCCTTTTTTAACCTGGTACTCACCAGATGTGACAGATCAGACTAACAATTATCATAAGTCTTAAGGGAGCAGATACTAAGGATGGCTTTTCAAGATTAGAGAGAGTTAAAGTAACAGTTTATAAAAAGTTATCAATAAGGAATAGCTGTTGATGTTGTGGAATGCTGCCACACAACTGCTTAGCAGACAACATGTGATTGTGTTACAATAAGCAGCTAGTATTGAACATGTATTTAATGTGTACCTGAAGAGAGCTCATGTTGTCAGGACAGAAAACAAAGACACCAGCCATCAGTTCACAGAAGCCAGACGGTACATGGCGGTGTCCTTCAAGGTACATGAAAGCTTGAATAAAAGGTTGTTAAGATGTTTGTAGTAAGGTATGAAAATAAAATCCTGCAGGAAATATGTCTACAAGATATTTATGTATGTTTAATGTAAATCTAGGTCAAGAATAATGGAAGTCAGCACAGCTAAGGACACAAAGCACCCAGCCCAATCCTGGAATCTATTCTGCAATTAATTTTATTGGTGCCTGGACTAATGACATGGTGGCTGTACCTATATATGCTGTGACTACATTTCTGCTTACAGCATAAAGAATAAATATGTATATACTTTTGAGCTTATTACATGCATGCCTAATTTATACAATGCAATGTATATAGACAAAAAGTAAAGATATTTCTTAACTGAGCATTTAAGATCACAGAGTTATGGGCCAAAAAGTTATTTATTAGTAACGTGCAAATTATTTCTACCTGCTTGTCAGTAGAGACAACTCATATTTACATTACTGGATAAAAGCTACTAAAATTCTCAAAATAAACACTGTAATGTGACTTGCAACTGACTTCAAAAAGCCTACCTGCACAGAATATCATGTTGGAGGCAGCCTCTTTGCAATAAACAGACTGTTTCTGCATCTTCCGGACAGTAGTAAATGCAAATCCAGTTAAAGTTCTTCCTATGACATTGGCTGACTCATATTGTTTTTTTCTGAGACTGAAAAGCGTAGTACTTGCATGACTCAGTTCACATGGTATTGCTCAAAAATGTGACAAATACATTTTGCTACTCAGCACAGCAAAGTAAAGGCACAAGTAAAATTCAAAAGTTCAGGTTTTGGGTCATGTGAATTGTTTTGTACCTGCTTTACTGTGCTTGTGATATTCCACACGGTATTTCTCCTACAAGCTTTGACAACAATAAATGCCATCTTCCCTTACTGGGACAGATCTAACCCTGTAACAGTGGGTTAGCCTAAAAATGTCCAAACTCTTCTGAAAAATCAGTGTTATGCTACTAATACAGTAGGGTTAGGTTTCACTGAACTCACAAATCTGTTTCTACCTTGTCTTTGAGGAGGTATACCAGTTGCATCATATGAAGATCTCATCTGAAACACATGCACAGTGCAGACTTAGAAGACATATACAATACAGTAAGGATTAGTGAGGTGTTTGACAGTGCTCCTGTTGAAGTTCAACCATTCCTGCACAGGGCTATAAGGTCACACTTCTCATGGTGCATAAGCTTAAGATGTAAGGCAATAAATTGGATTAGTTTGCAACAGTAATATACTGCTGCTTAAATTTCAGAGGAAAACAAAATGCATTCAGGTTCAATATACAGGGAGAACGGGAGAGTTTTACCTAGCAGACTAGTTTAAGGAGTCTGCATAAATCCTGGCCAAAGTTCCCTTAAAATATTTTAGCACAGATTTAAGTTTGTATTTATGTTTGTTTTGAATTATTTCTTTCTTCTGAGAAAGATATACTTATGTTTGTTTTGAATTATTTCTTTCTTCTGTGCCTTAAGATATATACCATGTGTTCAGGTAGTTCTTCACATATGGATTAGAACCCTTCATCCACAGATCTCCACACTTTAAGAAGAGTTATCTTTGTTCCCATTTTCTAGGTAGGGAAATAGACAGAAAAAGACTTCAGATATGGCTCGGAGTGACTCTAGAAATTCATAAATCAGTAGCAGAATCAGTGAAAGCAGGTATTCTGCATTCTTTGCCAATACCAAAGTAGCAATATTTAATCGTATGTCTACTTGAAATAGGATGCAGTACTAGAATACTGCAGAACCCTAAATTAATCAGCATTTTCAGGTCTTCTTCACTTTGAAGTTTTAAATAGCAAATGGAATACTGAACTGAGGAGCAACTGCATTAAACTGGCATCTTACTTAAATATGCTGACCTGAGTGATTACAATATCAGCACTTTTTGCTCCTGCTAGGCCTGGAGCACTTACACAGCTGAGTAGGCTGGAGATTAATGTTCTTTCTTGTGCACTACCAGTAGAATTATTAAAATTTAAATTAATAGCCTCTGAGCAATCTGTGGAAGTCAGACATGACTGAGGCCATGATAGGAAAAGATTTGTCTCTTAATACTACTTGTGTAACACTAATTTTTCCTACTGAACAAACTTTAAATCCCAAGGGGAGCAGGAATAAAACCATAGTGGCTTCTTAGAGGACTTACAGCTAGGGATACTTCAGTTTGTCAATTTGAAAACACAGGGGAGAGAACTCACTGTTTTTGCACCTAAGTTTTGTCAGGAAACATGGGAGTTCAAAGTTACTTTGATGATGCTCTTGGATTAAGAGTCAAAACTCTACTTACTTGCATTTTAAACAGTATTCAAAGTTGTATTCCTCCTATGTTACTCCCTAATGGCAGGGTAACACTAACCACTAAAGGTTCAAGGTTGTACTGCAGCACAACTGAGAACTGAATCTGATCTGCTCATAAACAGCAGTGCCAGCTGCCTATTTATCTTTATCAGTCACATTGAGAGACAGAAATTCATTGTTACTGAAACTATGTAACAATCTTTAGTTCAGGTATAAGGGAATTTCTACCTACTCACCAAAACTTAAATGTAATTTTTTCAGAAATTTCTAGTGTGTGATTTTCCTAAAGCTGGAGAAGGAAGAACAGACTCAGAGCTAACAACAGTTTTATAGGAGCTGTGAACCAACCTTCAGATACCAAGACAAAAGAACATTAGCAACTACATCTACTTAAATATTGTTTTAATTTTCACATCACAGCTGTAGTCACTAAACTCAACATTTTTGCACTGCACAAGCTGCTATTATAGGAAGTAAAATACTCTAAGTCAACAGTGAGTTAGAGACTCATAATCAGATGAAGTATTACCAAGATTCTTCTGTGCCTTAAGATATACACCATCATTTGGCTTCATTATTACTGATATTTTCATATGGTTCATGGTATATGGGAGGATCAAGATATGAAAGCAGCCTTTTTAGTAACCAACTTTGAACAGCCTTCATCTCAACCCTTGCAACGTCCTTCCACAAATTCTCAAAGGATGTCTTATAGCACTGAAGCAATCATTTCAGGTCATAAAAAGATAAAGAACTTTAAACAACTTTTCATTTTTTCCAGTGAGAAAATAATTATTTATGCTCTTAAAATGAAGAGGACTTTGTACAAAAGGTCTGGAAGATCTGGTTTTAATTACATATTTCAAAACTGAGTTATACAAGACAATTCTACTGCTTATACTCAGTAAATACATTAAAAACTTAAGAGACCAGGAAGCAAGTAAGCAGACTAGTCTATTAGTAACTCGGATGTTTTCTGGAAAAGTATGTCATGAACAATTTGTCCCTTGTGAGTAAAACAGAGGGAGAAGAAAAGGGGCAAAGAAAATTAGTTTAAGCAAGAAACTCTAACACCCCTTTTGATCTTGCATGCAAGATGAGAAAAGTTTCAATCATTCAGTCTACAGCCTTATTTAAAGATCAAAACAAGCCTGAGCAGCTTAAGGCCTTCATTAACAGAAAAGCAGCTATGCACAATCAGAGTTAACTGAATGCTAAGTGGGACATTCATTTTTGCAACTTTGCTTAAATGATACAATCATTATTTATACTGTCCTGTATTCCACAGACGACAATCAAGATCCACTTTACAAAAGTTTTTTCCACACAGTCTCCCATTTCTTTTCAAGTATTCTGTAACCTACCTGCTACCTTAAGATCTCCACACTGATTTTTAGTAACTTCCTAAATAAATTACATATATGAATGAAAATCCTCCAGCCATTTAGAAACAGAAACTGCATATAGTACACAGTGACAAGATCTTCAGAACAAAATTTGCAAACAAGCGGCTCAAGATATTTGCGAAGGAAAGTGTTCCTTTTTACCTACAAAATTAAAAATACCAGTGATAAAGTTCCGCTGCAATACAAGAGTCTGTTCGAATGTGTAAAGCTTTTGCTGAGACTACATAAATTTTAATCCATAACACATGCTTTCTCAGCAAGGGAATCCATTTTTCCCATTCCTTTGAAGATGACAAGCAAAGTTTTGGACATTTGTTAGCTCTAAAGCAAAGGAAATATCAAAGTGTCATTCACTCTTTTGAATACTCTAATTTGACTACAACCAAGTCATATGTTACTATGATTCATTGTATATTTGGCTAATCATTTAACAGTTCCTAACAAAATGTTAAACATTTAAGAATGCTTGAGGGCACAGGAGCTTAACAATCAGAAGAGTACTTAACAGCCAACTGTTTGATTTAAAATTTCTGTCTGTTGTCCATATTCTAACCATTTAAAGTATCTTAACACCGCATATATTTCTCTGCTTTCAATTAAGAATCTTGCTGTGCAACACAATTCACATAAGATCAGAGCTAATTTTGATCTTCAATTACATATGAGAGATCCAAAATCAGATTGGCTGTCTCCAGAGCTACTTGTAGGCCACTACACTTTGCAGCAAAACAGTCCAATGTCAGAAAGTCAGCAACCTTTACTGAGGGCTCTTTAGGGCAGCCCTGTGTAATAGGGGAGCCAAATTGGCCTTGCAAAAGCCTCCAGTTGAGATTCTCAGTGTTATTATTAATCCCACAGCCACATTTTGAAACTAAATCTGACCAATTAGAGACAGAGGGAAAACCTGGTGGAACAAACCAACAGTGTCCATAAACCATGTCTGTAAGAATTTCTCCATCATCATGATTCAGAGAGCAAGCTACAGACTCCAGGGAACAGCAAAAACCATCAGCAACCAACTGGTATTGTGTCTGAGAACAATCTATATCTTTAAAACTGCTGGTGGACAGACTACAAGTCTAAAAAAAGACAAAAACCAAGAAAACAAAATTAGAACACTGTTTTACAGAAGTAATTTTCAATCAAACATATATCATACTGTTGCCTTTTTTAAGCACGTAGTTCAGTCCTAACAAAAAGTTGTTCACATGATTATTCCACAATAGGAAAGATCTCTAGAGATGTTAAAGCAGAGTTCTGCATGATTATCTTTCAATATAAAAACTCTACACATTTTAACACTTAAAAACCAAGCACTTACTATAATAGATACCTAAAGAATGACTAACAAGTACAAATACAGTATTAACAAGTCTGAAAGATGTAATTAGCACTCGGTGCTTCAAATAGATCCCTTTGTTTTATATTAGTAGTTAGACAGCAAAAATGCTACATTAATCTAGAAAAGACAACTGTTTTAACTGTAGCAGTGATTCTACATAAATTCTTGTTTCGTAAGTATATTAAGCAGCTTTAAAAAACCCCTTGTCTTGCATACCTTGTGTCTTATATACGAAGCCAGGTGAGTTTCTGTACAGCCACCTCCTAATAACGCCAAAGGTTCCTTGATCGTTAACTGTAACACATGTTCTGCAGTTTCACAGGCACACTGAAAACCATATGAATTTGTCATTAGACATACCATGGTTAATAGGGTTTGTCCCCATTGAAAAAACTACTGGAATTTTCAGTAGTTTCTTTTACAGACTTCATGCACTTGAATTACATGTGGATATAAAGCTGCTGAGTGATTTCTAAAACCATGTTCACTTAATGAGAGATTGTCTTTATTTGTCCACACTTGGTATGGAAACGTAGGAAAAAAACACTGTATTTTATTCCTTCTTTCTGCAAAACAAGGTTATATATAAAAAGTCAATCAGTATCAATGACATTTCTAGAGCAACTATTCAATGCAAAACTATACTTCACTACCATTTCAGGTATTGCTGCTGGTCTTTTGCTGGGCAATTTTTTCTTTATGCTCTCATACACCAAGTAATGAGAATGAAAATGTTTAGCCAGCACTAGCCTCAATAACAGGTGAAAAATGTTTCCGTCTCTAAGCAGCTTCCCATATTAAAATAGAGGCATTAAATGAACATGGGAACTTCAAGGATTTTGAAGTCTGGAAACAAGGCATTTCTGAATTGCTTTCTTGAAGTTGTATACCTATACCTGAACTCTGAGCTCCATTTAAGTACTGGAAGATCACTTTTCTAAACTCACTGTATCTATTTCTCATTTTTTTCCATTGAAAACATGACTTTTCAAGGAAGATTTCGAGAAAATTTGCCTACCTTCAGTTCATCCCATGCTGTTTCATTTCTGTTACAGAGTATCAAGCTGCAGACAACTGTGTTGTCAGGAATTAGATGCACAAAATGTTTTGAAGCAAAACTCTCAATACACACATCTTTCAAACTGCCGTAAGAACTAGCAGACAACAAACGTATGGAAGCTATAGGCTTTGAACCTGTCCAATTAAGAAAAGCAGAGCACACTTATGTATTAGTAACCAGAACAGCTATGTGTTGCATTTCATAAAGCACGAACATTTTTCCTCTTGGCTTTTTACATTATATATATCCTCCAATACCTAACATTTCACTCTATACAGGAAATCACAAACAGAAACCAACATGTTTTCAACGTGCAAGACAGTGACAGCTGAAGATACAATAAGTAATTGCTTTATTTGCATTCAGAATTTGAAAATAATCTACATTTGATAACAATTACTGTAACTGGATATCCCTCATGCAGCAATCAGTAATCACATGTGCATTATGTCATCATTAGAGCCTGCAAAAGACCAATCCCACCTTAAAAAAAAAAGTTTTTCAGACCAGGAAAGAACAACTCTTGCTCAGCTGCTAAGATAGGATACAGCCAGAAATAAGAGACTCTCTATTCTGCAACACCACCCACCTAGATAGGTTTTCATTATGAGATGAACATTAAGGACAATTGTATAGTACAGAAAGCTTGCTTGTTACCTGTCATCCGACTCAGAGGTTCCACCAGAGATAGCCCAGCTCTGTCCACAGCGATGACATTGTTCTCTTTCAGATATTGTTTCAAAGATGGATGGATAACTTTCTGACACACTACAAGGCCAACCCCATCATTAACCAGCTGCTTTCCTACATTAAGCAACTGATTCAGCTCTGACATTTCTAGAGAAATTCCATGATGGACTGTTATAGTTCCTTCTTCAGGGCTGAAAGTGTCTCCTGACATGGACACACAGAAAAGTGCTATCTTGATCATGTTTGAACAAGTCCTTTTGACAGTAAGTGGTTTTGCCAATTGAATTTCTGGTGTTTCTATCAGTAGTCCAGGAAGAACTGTAGAATCCACAACTCTTCTACCTTTCACAGGTACTATTACACACTTTCCTAAAACAGCATTAGTCTCAACATGACATGGAACAGCAAATATAAAAGCCTTTAAAATCAGCATGGCAAGATGATCAACTTCTGTTTTATTAAGCATGCAAGCAGGTTTGCTTCTTAATACACTACGTACCAAACAAAGAAGAGTCTCCACACTGCTAAAATCCACAGATACTCGGCAACCACATGCCTCAGATTTGAGGTAGTCCATACATAAACTCAGAAGATGTTTGCTTATTTTAATGACAGTGCAAGATGCAATATTTAGGCTTTTGAAGTTTTCAATCAAGCTACAGCAAAGAATGGCAGTAAATAAGCCACAGTCACTGAAGCGAGATACATGGTTCTGTACAGAGGCCATCAAAACACTTAACACAGGATGACTGACAGAAAGACGACTGAGTATGGCTGAAGATTGTGAAGTTGTACAAACGTAGCCTCCCACACCATTGTGGAGCTGTTTGAGTCTACCAGCAGGACCATAGCAAGATTTTAATACTCTGCTCAGCAGGGAGAGTGACTGAATAACTGTATCTTTAGTTAAAGGTTCACTACTAAATAACGGAGGTTTTTTAGCTTCAAGACGAGACATTTTCAATGTAAGATTTTAATTCTGGTCAAGAAAACAGATTTCATTTTTACTTGGATCTATAATTCATAGCACTTTTTCAATTTAAAGTAGTACATTTTAATTATTTAGAGCCAAGGATTATTACTTTAAATGTGAAACAGTACATACATTGCAATAACAACATTTCTATGCCTGCTCGTCACCTACCTCTTAAAATGAGGATTAAAGCCTATTGTGACATTGGTACATAGTGACAGCAGTAAGCTATTTCATTCACAACGATCCTCCTTTTTAGCTTCTGAATGTGATCGAACAGATTTTTTTGCAACAAAGTTTACAAGCATGCTTCCAAAATGGACACCTATAAGTGACAGTCCTGCCACGAGCAGAAAGTTCTTTCTACTCCAGCTACCTTTCCTCATCTCTTCTTCTGGCAACACTCACAGATGAAAAGCTTCAAAGCTAATCATACCTACAATAAAAAACATAGGTATTAGGATAATCTTATGACAATATTGCATAGCTTGAAATGCTATTTTATTTTTCACAAAACATTCACATAAGGACAAATACCAAACTATAATGCTTTTTAATTGAGAAAGTCTATTAATATTACATGTGACGCAAGCATATAGTACACAAATGATACGTTTGTTAATACCTTCAATTCTGGCCACCCATTTATATACCGTTTTACCTGTAGGTCTGTAAGTAACAGGCCACTATAAACTGCACTGAATTGCATGAAAGTGGCAAAACTGCAATGATGTCAACCTGTTTTTACTCAAGAACAAAAGAACTGAACTACTCAGCACTGCTTCCCAAGCAATCACTTCAGAAACAAAAGCTTTTAATGTTCAAACAACTTCAAAAAAATCTCTGCCTCTGAAAGAAAGGTTTATTACTTCAAGATATCTAACATACAATTTTTTTCAGTTCTTGAACACTTCAAAACTTAGAAATGTAAATAAATATCTATCTAATCTCTACAGTATTAAGACTTCTCCCATACTTAATTTTCTTTTCTATTGTAATTACCATCCCTACTAACAACACAGAATATGTTACTACGTAACATCACAATTATTTCTGGGCTGTTTCAAACCTGAAAGGACACTGTTGCAGACCCAGTCAGTCACAAGAGTTTGATAGTTGCCTTGAAGTTATTGGAGTCTCTTTTTAAATATCTTTAAGACCTATAATATCATCCCTTAATTGACCCTCTCACATGGGATTTAGCAGTAGTTTGATATGTATGATGCATTTTTTTGGGCCCCTGTAACTACCAGATTAACTCAGTTGCAATAAATTTAAGTTGCAATAGAATAAAACTCTGGAAGACTAAGGTTAGAGCAGCAAGACTGCATCTGTTTGAAAATCCTCAACTAATCAATTCATCTCCTGCCTCAACAATACAGATACAACTTATTAGGCAACTTACCCACAATACACAGCACTAATGCTATTTTTCCTTATTTTTGTGATCACTTTGCATCACGTATGCCACAATCCCAGGTTCTGGAACAGTATCATCTGTCTTCATTTGGAAAAGAGGACTGGACTTGATGTAAAACCACCCCCAGTGCACCAGCCCAAGGCTAGTTCCCATAACAATCAGAACTTTGTAGTCCTTCCAGATGGTTTTAAGACCCATTGCAAACTGGCATCTACCTAGGTAAAAATAATTTATTATTTAAAATGTATTCTAGAAATCCTTTTTTTACTCTATAATAATAGCACAGAACAGATGAACCTGAATGTTAATATATTTAATTACAGTGCAGCAGATGATTAAAACAAAATGACACAAGAGTCTTACTTTGTGAACTTCAAAAAAGCTATAAAAATAACCTCAATTCAGGCATCTTGAAATGTTAATTGCTGCATTTGCTTCAAGCTTTGGCATGCTAAAGCTTAAAGCTTTTTTTACTTTATGTTTATCTAATTACAAATGTTACTGCTTCAGATGGTAAACATCTGAAGTCTAAGACAGGTATTTTCAAAATACACCATTTCCCCCCCCATAGTTAATAAAATTCAGTGACTAACCAAGCTCCTAGCAAGCTGCAATGCTTCTGACATCACTTTATGTTGCCCAGAGTAGCAGCCATGCCTGACTACCTTAGTCCTTGATCTTTATATGCTACAACAGTTATCAGTACAAACACAATAAACTCATCCTTATCTAAAAAGACTGCATAAAACTCTACTTCACATGGGATTTCATCAAGAAGCACCTACTACAGGAAAAAAGGTATGTATACTCAGGTTTTGTATCAAAATAATTTCTTGTTTTAAACAGTTACAAAAGTACAACTCAGAGAGTACATGTTCCTACACCTGCCCAGATTCATCCACCTGACAGGAATATCGTGTCCTACTAAACACTCGTCCATCATGCCGTGGAGATTTCCCAGCTTCACACCGCTCGGCACACAAGGCAAAACAGCCTCGAAAGTCATTACAAGAGCCGGCCGGTACGCGTGAATAAGCCGCAGGCCGGCGGTAAACTGCTGAGGGGACGCTGAAAGTGGCTGCGGCCCAGCCCAAGCAGCCTACCCTCTGACAGGCGGGCCGGCGGTAGGGACACCTCCGCCCTCAGTCACGCCGCGACACGTCTCCAACCGACCTCTACCCCGCGTCCCAGCGACCTTGCAGCGCGGGACGCCTGAAAGGGCAGCTGCTCCCCTCAGGGACGGCTGAGGAGGACCGGCGCGACGGGAGGAACCGGAGTGAGGGTAGGAGGAAGACGGCGCCACCTGAAGCTTCTCTCCCCTTTACCTCACGCAGCAAGAAGCTGCCGGTAGGGAAGGCGCCGCTCGGCCGCCCCCAGGAGCCCTCCGGGCGCTCACCTCGGCTATCGCCCCAGGGAGGCGAGGGAAGAACTTAGCTGCCCCACCGCCAGCGCCTCAGCGAGACGGGCACCTAGGGCGTAGGCCCTCCCCTAAGTGCTTAAACTCCCAACGGCAGGAAGCGGCCTCGCGCAGGCCGGAAGTGCGACTCCC